AAAAGCAAAAACTTAATTAAAACGTACAAATTTTTGTCTAAGTAAAACGTAAAGCAGATATCAACAGAAAACAATATTTGCATAAAATTTGCATAAATCAATCAAAATGCAAATAAGGTAATTGTAGAAAGTAATAAATTTGATCCAGACTCACTTTATCGTTGTGATTTACTCTGTTACAAAAATGAAAGTAGCAATTATACTTAGCAACCAAATTACTGATTTTTTTAATCTTTCCATATGACTCAATCATTTTTCTTAACATAAAATTGTTTCTCAAATGAAAGAATTTTTTTATTGGTATTAAAGTTAGTTAGACAAGAAATAGTGAAATCAATCCGACCACATAAAAATTCATTTTACAATTTACAGTTTTAATTTAACTTAATGTGAATGAGAAGCAAGGAGGCACTGTACTAGCAAAGCAGACCATGAATTGCTGGGCTAAGTTAGAATTTAAATATTAGATATCCAAACAATTATTGGTAAAAAAATAATCCATTTTCTCTCCTGACTAACGTAGAAGGCCTCCAATTCTTGCTCTGATAACTTTTGAAAATTTATACTAAAAATTGAATAAACTCAAAATTCAAACGGGTCAGTGCAGTTATCAGAAATATTATTGTATTTCATGCAAGAACTTTTCAAACTTCGGTATTTGAACTTTTTAGCTGTGCACATGTAATGATCTTTCAAGAGATTACAGATTGAGTATCTATGTAGCATAACGTTGTCATTTAAGTATTTATTTGCATTCAGGATTCAAATTGTATATTAAATTTACTTCGAGTAATTTGTGATAACAGCATTTTCATTGCAGTTGTTATTATTTCTCTGAACTGAATGCCTTGACCAATTAGCGGTTGAATCGGTAATTGTCATTATCGGTAATTCAAAATTAGTTGGTAAAATTTGAGTAGAGATCAAGCTAAAATGTATTGACCAAATTAAAATGATCCGAATCAGATTAAATCAGCAAAACTTAATTATGGATGGTAATGAAGTCGAATAATAGGTTAAAAAACAGTTAACTGTAATTTTTTGAAATATGCATAGAGTAAATTCTATGCATGTTGACCTTTCATTGTATTCAAGACAAGCCTAGCAACAATAGCACACACATAATTATCTATCAGTAATGATTTGATATTTTATAAGGTCACTAAGGTAAGGGAGAAATTACTCCAACTGCGCGAAAGAAAAACTCACTGCGCGAATTTCTGCTAACATAACATTCCTTTCTTTTTTTTGAATAACTTTTAATATTTTAAAAATAATCGAAAGCAGTACAGTTTTCATTTACTATTCAGCAGCGTTCTCGTCTCCCCGTATGACCTTTATAATAGTGACATTACTGGCATCTGTTTTCATTTTCTTTCCTTCTACTAAATTACTTTGCTAATTTACCAAAATAAATCACTTCTGCTACTTAATTAGTCTATTCTTCTCAGTTATTGTATCTGTTCTCTTCAGCTATCGGTAAGAAATTTTCTTTTCAGGAATTCATTTTATCAAAATTTATGCTAATCTTTATCGATATCTGATCAATCTCACATTCAAAATCAATAGTAAGACTAATTTGTCTAAGAGTGGAGCAAAATTTCGCAAATGATCTAATTAAGATTAAAAGATCAAAAAAACTATCAGATTCAGAACTCATTTTACATAAATGCAGCCGTATCTGTTAGCTTAATATTGTGAATTAACGAAAAATATTCATTATTATAGCAACAAAAAGTTTACAGCTCCTTTTTGTTACACTTTTGTTGTATAAAGTCTATAAATTGTGAAGTGAATTTGACCTGGTTAATTTGACCTGTTATCCTGAAGGGTGTCAAAATCGTTCGAAATAACAAGACAGCATGTAGTAGTATTCCGCTCGTCCAATTCAAAAGCTTTGTTTTCAAGTATTTCTATCGTCATCCTTCTTAATTTATTAATTTTGGACTACAGGACACAAAGAGACAAACTGACTAACTGCGTGATCCATCCTTTTTAACAATTTGATCAGTTCCTTCTTGAAAATGACTTATTTGACCTGTTGATCGGTTGATCTTGCCCATTTTTTCCATTACAATTGCTCTAACTGTTAAAACTTTTATGAAGAATTTTTACTTAAATTATGGCTAACTTTAAAACTGAAATTAGTTTTTAGTCATATATCTTCTATAATTGCATTATCTATCCCGAATACTTTGACTTTAGAATTGAATGTATTTTTATAAAAATGACATAAAAAAGCAAAATCAGCTATTTGATTTCGAGGTATGCAACGACAATGACCATCTGAATCTCCAAATAAGCAGAAGTATGTATTGACTGATTCATATGACACAATGATAAGAGATTAGAATTAAAACTGTCAATAAATTAATCGTAACAAATAAAAGTGAATGGTACAGATGTAAACTTGAAGCAGCTGAAGAAATAATAGATTTAATGTTACGAAAATTAGTTTGTGTTCAGGGCAGAAATATGCTTCAGAAGTTAGTTTTTTGCATCTTCCAAGAAAGAATTCTCGTTGGAGTAGAAGGTGTAGAAAGATGTATTTCAGATTACTGCAGTTTGGTCATTTTCTTTAAAGATTTCTAATGAACAAAAATAGTGAATAAAATCCAAGTCTGTATGAAAGTTAGAAAATGCTTAACACAAAATTATAATAATAATGAGAAAAAGACAAAATAAAACAATTAAAAAATTACAAAGTAAATAATTTTTAGATCAAATTATTTTTTGATTCTTTTCTATCTCTCAAATAGCTCAGAAATTAATTGGTTTGATTAAATAATACATTGTCATAATGAGACTATTTTTACTACAAATTATGAATAAATTTGCATAATTCACCGAATTTTGATCTTTCTTATTCGATCATTTTTTTAAGTGAGAACAAATCACAATATTAGTTGAAATTATTGTTCAAAATGAGTAAGTCAGATTTCCAGACAAATTTTAAATGTAATTTTTTGCTCGCACTCCTTTCGGTGACTATTTTTGTATTTTGACATTTAACCTTTGATAACGCTATATTATGTTTGTACCGAAGAGGCAAAGTGATCTTTTGTAATACTAAGACAAAATGGCCATTTGATTGATGCTAACTGTTAAATATTTACACTAAAATGAGAATGAATTAAAAAGTTGATCACATTCATACGTACGCAAACGTCATTTATTTTTTTTTTTTGTGAATTTAATTCAAGTCGATGGCACTTACTATGAAGGTGAAATCTGATAAATTCACTCTTGAGAATCAGTAATTACTTTCCATTTCTAAGAACAGAAAAAGCATAATCACTGCTTGCTTATTTAGAATAGTTTGTCTGACATTTCGTGTGAAATCCAATCTATTATTTCTCGAAATGCACTAAAATGCAAACTTTTTGTTTGTTTTAGTTTAACTTTCTGATAAAACTTTCGATTCTAAAATCAGAAATTAAATTTTAGTTGCGCCAATTCAAAAACCTTAAAGAATTTTGCTATTCTGCTTTATATTTTTTCCATAAAACTAAGTTTTATCATTGCACAAAGCAAATGAGCGCTAAAGTTCAAAGTTCCTCTACGTGTACTTCATATCCTTAACGAACCTTATTAGGAATTCTAGGCTGAACATAATAAATCTTTTGAATATATTTTGTTGATTTTAGGTTTGCTATTTTTTCTGTTATACTATTAAGTGTATTTCTTTGTAAATTCAAGATTAGTATTATCAAAAGCGTTGATTTCTGTGGTGAAAAATAACCTAGAAAAAACACCTGCGAGGTGTTTTTTTTCACTCTCTCTACTGAAATGATTGTCTTTCTTTAATTGCATTACTTTGTGTTTTGCTTTAAGAATTATCTTCGTAAATACCATAGAGCAGTATTATTTGCGGAATTTGCTGAGTTAGGAAAAATGCCAATGAGCGATCGATGGTTTATCAAATCTCCACAACTCTATCATGCTCGACAAGGACCATCGAATCAAAATAATTATCACAACGGTATTCCAGAAATGCATAAAGAATACGAAGATCCAGAATATTATTATTCTAGGCCACCTGACCTTCCACAGGTTATCATTTATTTATACTTTATCATGATAATTCAAGTTATTTGGTGTATAAATAATAATTTGTATATTTAAATTATTATTATTTCACTGCTAAATTTGAAAATTGATAAAGCTTTGAAAATTATAGATATTAGTTCTGTTCAAATTTGACAATTTTGGAACTTTGTTACTTGCCTTTGATTAAAATTTTATTATGATAATCCATGATAATTTTTATTAATTTTACAAAATTCAAAAATTTTTAGTAAATATTTAAAATATATGTCTTTTTTAAGCAGTCATCATATGTAATGCTCTGAAAAGTTTGAATTTGTGTTTAGAATGCTGAAATTTAACGTTGCTTAGAATGAAGAGAATCTTTTCAGAAACCTACGCCACCACCACTTCCACCAATTAATTCTTTACAAAAAATAGTCCCAACACATTTTGTGATCGAACATAAACAAGTTTGTTTACAAGAAAGCTAAATTTTTGCTTTGAGACAAAAATAAAATTATTTTCTGTTCATAAAAAGATACAAAACATCTACCTCTACATACAAAAACTTTGAATCTGATCTATTGCCAGAAATGTATTCCTTTATCGTTCAAGAAATTTTTAGATTCTTAATTTTTTGAAAAAAATTATCTCAAATTGGAGCACTGCATGAAAAGTGAAAGCTGGCAGGAAGGAATTCAATCATACTGAGAGTAGAATTTTATCGCAGTCAAAATCTTTAGATAATAATTAGTTCTTACTTGATAATTAAGTTCCTTCAAGTCAGTAATTAGATTTTTACTTAAGAATATTAAAAATGTAAATTTCTATAAGAACAAAAATTAAAATTTTTCAAAATTTACAGAGGAAAGGATGGAATCTGAGGGTTGCAATATTGGGGTGCTTGCTAGCCGTAATGGCAACATTGTTCATTTTATCACTGCTTTATTTTTTAATTTTGGAGCCGGGAAAGAGTTCAAATACAAAAATTGCATTACAATCAATAACTTCTAATGTATGCAAATTATTAATTAATTAACTAATTAAGTTTAATTGTAATTTTATATTATATTGGTTTATGAAATTTTCAAGCACTAGAAAGGTATGAAAATAAAAATTAGAATAATTCAAAATTGTAAAATGCTTTTATAAATTTATTACTTATTTTGTTTGCTGAGCAAATAAATGAATTTTATAAAAACCGTGCCATCTATTTCATGATTGAAGGACAGATTAATTCTTTGCTTTTAATAATTTATTCAAAATGAACCAACTGTTTATTTTCAAAATTTGAAAAATTAGTCAAGTTTCTGTAGGCTCAAAGTCAGTACAATGAAAGAGGCTTGCACATAGATTCCACTCCATTGCTACCTTCAAAAAATGCAATAGATGTCGAAGTGACATCAAGTTTTTTGCTTACAATGTTAATTACAAAACGGAAATTATGCTTATTTGAAGTGGGCACTGATCGAATGGCCGAGTCAAAGTTAGTTTTTTTGCAAATTTATTTATGAACAAGTTATTTCAAATTTATTTTAGTTTAAATTAATATTTTAACTTTTTATTTTAGAAGAGAATATCGCAAAGAGCACATTGAATCTGCACGTTTATTAGAATTTGCGAATTTAAGCGAAAATGGAATACCAAAACATCCACTTCATTTTCAACGTTATGCGAGAAGTTTAGGCATTGATGAAGATTGTCATTTGATTCTCTACGATCGAGGAGAAGTTATTTGGGCTACATTTGCTTTCTGGATTTTTACGGTAGAATATTTCAAATCTTTTGTCTGTTATTAAAATAAGACTTTGATAATAAACAAATGAGTTGATTAGCAACAATAAATTATTTTGCATTTTTTTGCCGTTTATAACAGTTAGATTGAACTAAAAATATTCTAATCATCATTAGATTACATGAAGCTATTAATCAGTCATTGATTGATAAGTTATCAGAAAGATCACTGAAAGGGATTAGACGACTTATCTGATTTTAGCTTTTTGGTCACCCAAAAGTTTCACTTTACTCTGGTGGTCTTAATGAATGGAAAAGACTCAAGACTAACTCCCCACAGTACAAGACTGAAAGTGGTGATGGCATATATTTACAATATAATGGCCATTTCCGAGCACAGTGGAACACAGATGTATGTATTATTAAGTTACTAAAGCTTTACTCAAAATTAGTGTTTATTAAAAGATGCAAAGAGATAACATTTTGAGGTCACTTATCCATTATAGAACGATTATAATTTTTTAAAATGTACTGAAGGTAAACATTTCTTAGAAGTTTTTGACACAGGTCATCTGTACATTCGATGATGTGCTCACAAACATGGAACTCAAGATATATGACCTGGTGGATGCACAAGATCGAGAAGTAAGCTGCTTAAATTTTTCAACAACAAAATATTTAAATATTTACTGCTTTTTTTTCTTTATAGCATTATGAAGGTATTTCATCGGATGCAGTGCATGGTCACATCAGATCTGCAGTGAATATTCCGACTGGAGATATCTTCAATTGGAATAGCCATAAATGGCATGATGAACTTTATATGAAAGATCACTTTCATTCAAGAAAGCTTGTTGAAAGCAGGCCTGTAATTGTTTATTCAGCAACAGCAATTCGGTCGAGTTTAACTTGGCTTGCTTTGAGAAAATCAGGCTATAATTCTAGTATATATTTTGGTTCATGGCCAGAATGGCTTATTAGAGCTCCAGAAATCCTCAAAATTATACCTAAAAGAAAATTATAACCTTATTTGTAAATAATAAATATTCAAGGATAAAAAGATTATTGCATGAATGAAATAATTTAACAGCAAACGAATTCCATCTTATTTCAGTAAGCTAATCCAGAATTAATTTTACGTGTCATCAGTACTAGTCATAATACCATTAACTTCAAGCTATAGAGTAATTTAGGGTAGAAATTTATACAGAACAAATAAAATGCCAAAATTTCGAGGTTTCCCTAGCTGGATCTTAAAAACTTATTTCAAACTCCCTATTATATTTTAAACTTTTTTATCTAGAAAATATTTGAAATAAACATTTCTCTTCATCGAGTATCCAACTACAAATATGACCTTAAATAGTTATTAAAACATCTTTAATTAGTTGTCAAAGTTTTTGATTTTCGAGTAATCATTGGTAGTATAGACTAATGAGCAAGTAGTAATTACGAATTTAATTATCTACTATTATTTAAGCCATTCTGGAAGTTTCAAATTTGTTGTTTTATTGTTTTGCACCTGTTAATTTTATTTCTAGCATTTGTTTGTGTATAAACTGGATTTTATTAATGTTCAGGTTTTGCTTAATGTACAGTTTCTTACTTTCTACAACTTTTCATTTTATAATTTTATGAATTTAATTTTGATTTCAGTAAGTTTAATTTGAAAAGTCGTAACGAATAATGTTTGTAATAATTTGAAATTTTTGCTGCTTTTTAAAAATGAAAATGGCTGCAAGCAGTCTTGAAATAAAGTCATTCGTAAATACTTATTACTTTGTGACATATATTTAAGGGAAGAGACATTTTATGTCATAAGCAGAAGATTGTAATCATTATGAGATTAAAAAGTGAAGCTAATTTTTTACAAGCCTAAAATAATATCTTTTACAAGCCTAAAAACATATCTTTCACAAGCCTAAAATTGAAACAGTTATTTATTACGTGTAAATCAGTTTTATGGGATACACAACTTTGAAATATTGCAAAGTGCATATTGAAGTGATGGAATTAAATCAGCGTGAATGAAAATATTACAAAGATAAAAAATTGCTAATAATTTACAAATATTAGAGTAATGATTTTTATACATCAGTTGATATGTGTTAATGATAAGTAATTGCGATCCGTTCTTATCCACATTTCTCATCATTAGACAAACGTACGTCACGTTAAAAATACCTAATTAATTAAATGAGAGAAATCTGATTTCTTTAAAAGCACAATAAAACAATCGAAGATTGACATTTCCCACTGACCTACACTTTTTATCAGAAATAGAATTGAATGCAAAAGTATCTTCTTCAACTATGCATCAGATTTGTTCACTAACTGTTCAAAACGTCGATTACATCGGTCAGTTGACTTTTTGAACAATATTGTTGGTCAAAATGTGCTGAGTTTTTTTCTTTTAGTGCAGTAATCTATGAATTTCCTGTAACAGAATGGTAAGCAATGACAGTGTGATTCTCATTCAGTGCAGTTTTTCAGCTTTTCAGAATTAATATTACACTCACGAAAGTTCATTTTTTTTAATATGAAAAATCTTGAAGTCATTACTGAAACATGATCAGTTTCCTTGATCAGCTGTGCCACAGACTGTCAATTATACGTAAATCAGGCAAAAAATGAAATTATAAATGCAGTGGACTATATACCATGCGGAATTCAAATGAATAATTTTGAAAACTCTGGACTAAGAGGCAGTACTGCTGAAAATTTTTAATCTTCTCCCAATACAATTCTATTCTGATGCGGGCAGAGATCACAAAAAAGTGAGTTCCGATGAAAACTGATTCAAAATTCTGATTTTTTTGAAGCTAAGATTCGGTATAAAATAAAGTTAACCTTAAAAGAACGTGTAATTCTATTGCTTTGTTGATATATTTGTGCAGAAGTCCCCGTCCGGCAGCAAATGAAATAAATGAAGCACTGCGATTAGCTGACAATGCTGTATTGTATAACTTTTTCGCTAATGAAAATGGAATCACTTCATCGTCAACAGCGTGCATCATTAATATGGGGCACGTAACTCTAAGATTTTTACATAAATAATGCGCAGTAATTTTGAGCAAGAAATAATAATTTGGTGCAAAATCCAAATTTTTTTATCGAAATCGAATGTACATCGGATTCAGATGGGATAGAAGCTTGTAATTATCGATCTTTAATAATTATAAAATGATGCTAATAATACTTAGCACATCATGTACAAAGTGTAAGTTTGAAGTTATTACCCTTTGATATGCAGTTCAGAACTGAAATTAAGACCGGATCGCAATATAGATTGTCTAATGAAAAGGTCAAACCAAGGCAGCCAGCGCCAAGCTGATGACTCAGGAGATTCCGCAATGAGATCGACAACATTATTAAAAGGTGATTCCAAAATAAGGCCAGATGGTGGAGTATTTCTGTGGCTTAATTCCATCGCTACCGACGTCGCAATTCTTGCAAATTGTCATATTTTATAAATGTTATTATATTATATGCGAACAAAGTGCTAAATGTTATGAATAAATGCAGCAACAGTTTTCAATTCTGTGATTATTGAAGAAAAATTAAGTGTAAAGTGGAAGATCTCAAAGAATTTTCAGTCGAAAAAACTGTAATATACTGTTTAGTTAGAGAAATAATTTGAATTTTTCGTAAGAATGCAACAAAATATTTCAGCTATTTAGTCCATTACTGTAACTTTTCTACACATCTTTGAAAACCTAAACGAGAAATTAATTAAGCCTAGCTTATCAGTGTCTGAGTAACACCTAAAGATATCAGAATGATAAAAGATAGAAAAGACATGCGAGAGTGACTTTTGCCTCTTAAAGGATTAATGTTTGAGATTCGCTTACCCAGTTCCCAATGAATGACCCCATACAAAAACATAATTTCCACCTGCCAATTTTTTTGTATAGTCGAATAAGAGTAGAGAATCGGCGATCATTCCAGATTCACTTGGATATCCATCCGAATCACCAAATCCTACATAATTCGTAGAAATCGTATCATCACCTTACTTTTAGCTATGAATGAGTGTGCAGTAGTACCATTTACCGTTTAACTTTTGTTGCGAATATTATCAAATATTTTCAATAAAAACTTTTAGTTTAAACTGAATTTATTTTTCTTCGAATGCTTCATTTCACTGAAATATCTTTGTATTTGTGCTTAGGCACCTCTGTAGTCTAAGCAGAGAACATGAAGATCCATTGCTGACAACACGTTGTATGTATCCACCCGATTTGCCCAGCTTCTGAAAATCTCAATCAGTGATTATTTTGTTTTTTCATATCTAATCACAGAACAACTAATGTCTCAATATATTCTAATACAGCCTCTGCTTTCTAGCAATTTTGAGAACATAAAAGTTTCATATTACTTATTACATAATAACTTTTATTATTTTCATCACTACTTTGGTTTTTGGAATTTTTGGAAAAAAATTTTTTTTGCCAACTTTTGACTTTTTAGTTTGTTATTTGAATCGCATAGAAAGCATTTAGGTAATATAGAATGCTTGCTGCTATGAATATACTTAATAAGTACGTAAATGTAATCGAAGTTCAAAAAGGTCAAATGTATATTCTATTAATGCATTTGTTCCACCGAATTTCAGCAAAAATCTATCAACTTATTAATTAATGATTGTTAATTACCGTGTATGGGTGCTACCGTGCAAGTATATAAAGATAGCATAATTCGGCTCCTGCAACAATTTCTCCATTTCTTCGTTTGATGCTCCTTTTTGTTTCACTCGTTCTGACAGTGACTTCGGCAGGATGTGCCTGTTTGCATTCAATAATCTAATTTTACAACAAATTTAGTTCAAGTAAAATTCTGATTTTTATGCTTTATTTCACTTTTTCACTATTTATAATATCTTAACCTTAGAAACCATAACCCCTTAACCTTAACCTTAATATCTTAGAAATACGGTAATTCTTTTTAAAGGATTTGAATAACGATATATGTGAGATATTTCACATCTTAAGCTAATATCCGACACTTATTTTCTAATAATTTATTCATTGCAAAATTTTTTTCAACGCAAAATTCATTACAAACGTTGTCTTACCAGCACCCTATGCGCCCGCTTTCTCCCTTCAAATAGAAATTCCGACCATATGATTTAACACCTTTCAATAACTTGAAATCATCATTATCTCGAACTGAAATACTTATACTTGCTTAATTCACGTCGACTTTTACTACAAGTTTAAGCTCTTACTGCTAAAGGCGTTATCTTTTCGGACTACCTTATTTACGCAACGACTGAGATGATGCAAGTGCTCAGTAAGTATTACACACAAATTTGCTGAAGCCTTTAGCAACAAGTTCGAATCTGTCGCTAAATTACATATAAAATAGTACAAGTATGCGTATTTCAGTTGAAAATATTCTTTCTTGAGCGTTACTGTTTGCAATTCTAACTTCATTTTTTCTCTAGTCAGATTTCAAATTTGTCATTCAACAATTTTACACATTCAGAAGCAGTGCAGTCTTATCTTCTTGACATTCGGACTGATAATCTAATTTTATGCTTTTTAATGCATTTTCAATTGTAATTGTAAGTTATGAAAAGATTTATGGAAAAAGTGGAAAATTTAAGATAAAACTTTTCTTATTGAAATTAGTGAAAATTTGCAAGCTTAAGTGAGAAAAAATAAATGTGATAATAGCTTAAACAAACATACCATAGTGACCAAATAATAACGGATGAAAAAAGGATGGACAAATGAAAAACAAAAATGGAAAAATAAAAGAAATCGAAGGTATTGCAGCAACCAAGAACCAACCCCGCATACTATAAAAATATTAAACCATTCTTATTACCAATTTATACGGTTAACAGCTTTATTCAAATTAGTAAGTAGTTTATTCAAATTTTGCCATACGAGAGATGAACTGATATCAATTTAGATTCATCTAAATTGATATCAGTTCATCTCTCGTATGGCAAAATAAATACTAGTTATCAGCTTTTATTATCATCTGAAATTCAGAGGTCAATTTAGATGAACCGATACTACTCCAGACAAGTGTAGTTCTTGTTAAATTGAAGGGAATCAGATAGACGCTATGAATAAAATAATGAAATTCGGTTTTACTTTTGTAAGTAGAAGAAATTATTAACAGTAAGTTACAGGAGTCACGGATTTTTAAATCTAAAATTTGGAACTGGTTACGGAAATTACTAAAGCTCCATAGTGCAAATAACCATCTCAGCAATTTTCATGTCACTTCTAATCCCCTTCCAAATTCTTCTTCAACGAATAACCATAAATTATGGATATTTCAAGGAATGGTAGCATTTGCTTGCGGCACTTCCAGTTTGAAATCCCAAATTAATTCTAGGCTAATGAAAACAAATCTAATGGTTTATTTCTGTTTCAGTATATTCTGAACTTGATTTCACAGCGGTTAATGAATTAAAGGAACAGCTTTAAAACATGTCATCCCAAGTACCAAAATATGCATCAAACTTTATTCAATAGCGAAAACAAAACATATAATCCATGAATCCTTTACTTTGCTCCCAGGTAAGCGTAATGAATAATAAATTATCGGATCCAAAAGTGAGATCAATAAGACACTATCCAGAACCACGCAGTAAAAAATAAAAAACTAATATATACCACAATTTTCATAAATCTGGAATGAAATATCACAGACATCTGAAATTTGCCGCAATAAAATAATTTACAATAATCTCAAACATGAGGCCAGTATCATATTTCAATATTTGCCTTACCAAAAGCATTGCAAGAAATATCAAATTCAAGGCGAAGTGAAAGAACTATACACTACCAACTTGTAAATACTTCATTGGTTATTCCGTTCCCAAAAAAACCCTCAAATCTGCAGGCTTTTGATACCATGGACATCTTTGACACCCAATATTTAGCTGATCGATCTAATTTCATTCTATTTCCATCGCTGATGAAACTTGACTAAGATTTTCCGATGAGTTCGATTGCGCACCGAGTTCGTCAGAAAATATTAATTGGAAAAGGTAACCAAGCTTAGAAATATTTCGCTGGATAACAATTCGACAAGATTCTCGAAATTTTGTTGGGTCACCCTAAAAATATGCAGTAACCAAATACATACAATTATTTCCTTCAAAACTATGGCAAGAAAATAACCTATCATATATCATCATAAAATCAAATAAATCAGATCCTTCATTCCATTTTCAGATTCTTGAAAACGTTCCCACCATATAATTTTATGACTTTCTCATTCTTAATCCTTACTTGCAACAAATGAAGATAAAATACCCAAGTTGCACAATTTTGTCTTTACTTCTACATTCGTTATTTTTCACTCAATTATTCAGGTAATTTAATCCAGTAATTGAGTGAGAATAATGAGACAATTAAATATTATCTCATCAAACCAGCCAAAATTCTTGGCAAAATTATTTAGTCAAAACAATTTAATCACAGTAATTTTGCTAAACTTGGCTCCTTTATTTCCTCAGATAAGATTTCGTGGTTTAAAAAAAACACACACACACAAACACAAGTAAAATAATAATTAAATCTTACTGTTTTTACGACTATATAATTTCACCAAATGAAACAAAATTTGAAAATAGAGAGGAACTTGTTATTCACAAAAATTTACTTTGACCATCAATGACAGTCCAACCTCAAACCTACCTTTATAAGGTCAGTAGATGAGTTGAGTGACCGATCAAATGCTGAATTGATCATGTTGGCTGCAGGTACTTCTGCATCCAAGACATTCTGAAAAGCGAGGTGCTTCACTCACTTCCACAAAATAATTATTATCAGTTTAGTTTTTTGAACAATTTTAAATACGGCCTTACATAAAGAATCTACTTCACACTTTTGTCAATACCTCAAATATTTAAAAATTACAAGGGTGAATGGAAACATATCAAAGAATTTATTAATTTATTCAACGCATACGTACTTTCAAATTTAAATGCATTAAAGATATCCTGCAACAGAAAAACAGACATTTTTGCCTCGGCAGAAAGATTAATTAAGTCATTTAAAAACTGAAGTTTGACTAAACTGAGTTTGATAAAGTCAAGTCTAACGTTTAAGTGTTAATAATACTTAATCACTTTCAATCTTTATTTCCCAATCTGTTTCATATATAATAAAATGGAAAATTGATCGCTATGGTCAATTGCAAAGAAAAAATTAACTGAGAAAGTCTTCGTTTTGCATTTTTTCTGCGAGATGTTAATGAGAGATAAAGTACAGAAAAATCATGAAAGTATGGCAACTCATTAATCTTTTGATAACTTTCAACTTTTTAAACGTCATGGAACACGAAAATAATGATTTAAATGAATAAACAGAAAAACGGGAAAGTATGTATATGGAATGAAAAGGTACCTGAAAATATTTCCAGATATCAAGTATAACAAAGAACCCTTCGCGGCAGGTCACTCTCTTAATTATTTCAAAATAATGTACCATTTTCTCTGGTAACATCTGACCCTGAAATGACTCAAAAATATTCAGAAGTACCTTACTATACCAGTGATAAATCTATTTGTTCCAGAGACAAATGAACTAAAATATGAAATTTCGATTGTTAAATAACAAAGTACAAAAAGAAGAACCAAAACTGAAAAAAGAGGATGACAATATGAGTAAATAAATTTTCAAAAAGATACAAACCTTTCGAGTCAGAAAAAACCACTTGTCAAGCATTTCAATAAGTTGTTTGCGCGGAGGAGCTAGCTGATCAGGACAATTTTCAAGCTGTATCATAATGACAGCTAAATAAGCCTGGATACGATGAAAATATTGTAAATGTCAAAAAAAATACGACAAAACAGTTGATAATACCGAACAGGTCACTACGATTCATCGAAGCAATGTTAAAGTTTTCGTGATGTTTAAGAATAAATAATTTAAAAAATTTAATGCTGAGCACTTACGATACTACTCTTTTTTAAATCAGAATTAAATTGTTCAGAAGCAATAAATTCTTACCTTTAATAATGGACAACAATACCATAGACAGGGATGTACCTCAGCTACGGCTAACATCACATCCCAAATCAGTGGAATTTCTGCAAGTCTTTTCGATACTGCAATGTACCTGCAAATGTATTAGATATGAAACGATAATAAATGCGATACGAAGATAGAATAATAGAATAACCTCTTGCGTATTAGTTAGTGTTACTTATCAGTACAAAAACAAGTAAAATAATATAAATTCCACAAACATGAAACTCATGTACAAAAAACACGGCTCATGGCTCGTGTTGTAAATATTGAAACACTATGAAAAGAACAACCTTGGAATAATTTCTCGTGCTTGCTCCCATTCTTCCCAAATAAAAGCAGCGGTAAGACCACTTTTACAAACACGATCTGTTAATCGCATCCCCTAGAAATCAAATAATAAAAATAAAAATATCAAGAAAACTACTATGTAACTTCTTAATCAGTGACTGGAATAAGAAACTTAGTTATATCGAAGCCTAAAGTAAAGAGATATAGATAAAATATTCAGAATTTCAAAGATATTCATGCAATGTGCACTGTTTCGTTTTGCTCTGCTTTTTTACGAGATTTTCTTTAAAGCAATCAAAAGGAAAAATTAATCGTTTTGTATGTTTCGGAATAAATAATTTAATGAAATTTAATGCTGAGCACTTACGACACCACTCTTCTTCAAATCATAAATTACCTGATGCGACCAAATTCTACCAGAAAGTAAACTCAAATACCAAAAAAGATAAATAAATTTTTGACTGGAAAATTTTTATTGCATGAAAATTTATATGAAAATGACTCATGCGATGAAATTATTGAAGAATAAAGAGTGCTACAAGCAAACCATCTGTTTATAAACTTGGTGATAGGGCTTCAAAGTTTGATCAGGTCCAATGGAATTACAAAATCGTTGAAGATATTCCATAAAAACCAAACGACGAAATTTATTCCCGCTCTACAATATTTCTTTATAACTCAGATTTAAACCTTATAAAAACAAGCAAACTTTTAGAAATTTCAAAAATTTTCATGCTTAATGAATTTAAATGCAGTTAAATCACTTCGGTAAAATCTTACTTTAAATATAAAATTCATTCCAAACAGATATAAAATTAAGATATAATATGAGAATTTTTATAACTAGGACTGAAAACTTTTAACCGAATAAATAAATTCATGTCTTATAGTGTAAAAATATTCTCATATAACATGAAAAAGTTTTATGTTAATAAAAACCAATATGAAACAATCTTTCTCGTACAGTTCTAGCTATTAATTTCAAATATTTATTTTGAGAAGGTAAACTGAGAACAAAAATACACTTTACTTCCACGTTTTTTGGATCAAGTCGTTTAGGACCTCTACCAATAACACCTGAATGTGCTAAATGTACAGGATTATGCGGAACTATAGGTGATTTTCGAACCATGTCCAATAGAGAATTTTGAAATAACTCATTTCCATAAGTATTTGACTCATCAACTGAAGAGCTACTTGATTGCAAATCACCTGGGAACTGTAACTCTGTTTCCCAAGGATGCAAAGACGAGGAGCCAAATAACTGCGATGCTTTCTGAATTTACAAAACGCTTCAAGTAAAAAATTACTGAAAAATCTCAAGCCAAGAGGAGAGCAAAAAAATTACAATTAAGGATATTTAAGAGAATAATTCCAAACGAGCAGCAAACGATGAATTTATTGTGCTGACAACTGATAAACTTGCATATTTGCTTTCCCCAGAGCTAGTAAATTTATGCTTACCGCAAAAACTTCATCCAGTAGATGGATTATGAATTGCTCACGAACATATCCTACTTGAGAATTCAAAAATCCCGCAATACTAGTACATGTAGTTGTAAACAATGAGAGAGCTGTATGATCATTTTCTACAAAATATTATTGAGATCATTTCCAAAGATAAGAAGTCAATATCAAAAACATTATCTTTTCCATTGCTTCATGATCAAAAAAGCCTAATTTTCACTAATTCTCACAATTTATGAATCAAGAGAAAAACTTTCGAAACATTGTTACTTAAATCAGTAATAACTGCCAATATCAAACTTCCACACTAATTGAAATCTATTAAAATACATTTCTACGGCTCTACAACTTAAAAAACTTCACATTTTATGCAAAAAAATCTGGATTTTCAAGAGGAAAATCTCAATTCTGCTTGAAAAATGTAAATAGAGGAAAAAACACTAACTTTGACCAACAAAATCAAGTAACAGAACAACTAAGGATGCAAACTGAGCATTTAATTTGTAAGGATATCTTGGTTCTAGAACCGGTGCTGGTCCTAGTGAAGAGCATAATGATAAACTAGCTAATACGACAGCATCGCGCTTTGCCTTTATTGACTGATCAACCTAAAACTTTTGAGAATTTCAGAAAATATTTACAATAGTCGAGTCAACGAGCATTTACAAGAGTAATCACAGACTGACATTGGAAAAGATAGCTTACAAACCTCAGACTTATCTTTTTCTTTTAAACTAGAGACAGCGTCTAACATCCATCTCAAAATTTCTGTCATTAGCTCACCGAAATGCTTTCTCATTTTATACCTGAAAATAACGAACAAAAAGTAAATAATTTACAAACAAGTATCAATAGCGATATCGAGGTCTCAAATTTCCTTCTAGTTTACGAGTAATTTTAAAATCCGAATAACTAAGAAATTTAAACTAATCACCTAATGTGTTTAAAAATATGTTCATCATCCGCCATCTTTTCCCATTCATGTAAGGTTCTTAAATTATATAGCCATTTAACGTCGTAAAAGTACTCGAAAGAACTCGAATCCAGCGTTTCGTCTAAAAGAGATGATAATCCTTGGTTTCTAGACTCGTATAGAGCAACTGTTTGACAAAAAATAAGTTATTTATGTCAACAAGTCTATTTCTACTTTATCCATGATGACCAAATAATTTTAGAATGTATAACTAGCAGCTTTCATCTATACTAACTTTGTTTCTGAAGCATCAACACTGTACGATTGGAAAGAAAACTGATTATAGCATTTTCTGGTATTTTTGGATTAAATATAATCAACGACGACAATAGCGCATTGAGACAAGCCAGCTGAAAATGTAAAATACTGATTAGAATTTCTTTAACATTCGTTATTAATCTCAAAAAACAATCAATCACAACCCATTACTGATTGAAGAAAATTAAACAGGAATGCAAGCATAAAAATCGTACTTGTTTTTCATCTTCTGCTTCCATAATAAATCTTGCAATAACTTCGGTCGTACGCACTGGGCCGGAAGCAATACAAAAAGAATGAATGTAGGGAATGAACAGCTTCGACCTTAATTAATCACAAGTACTTGGTAAAAAATTATTAAAGTGGTGTTGAGCTAATTCATGTGAAAAAGTTTTAAGGCCATATCTTAAATACACAAATTAATAAAAGTAGTGTATTCACAAGTTTTCAAATTATTTCAAAGTTCAAAAGCAAAAATATTATTAACAGAACATTGACACTCACTTTTCTCCACCAGCCATAGCATATCCAATTGTTTCCTTCAAAACCTCAGGATTACAAGCACATCGTTTCAGAACAGCATTATCGTTAACATTAAAGGCTGTCTGATTATGAACTGATGATAACACCTTTCCGATTATATCCGACTTCAAACACGATATTACATACTTTTTGAGGTAAAAACAAAAAAATACTGTTTTACTTATTATAATTGTTATTAATTAATTGAGTAATAATAATATTATTACTATTATTGTGATTGTCACTGTTATTATTATTACCATTATTAATTGCTATTACTACTTACTGTTATTTATTTATTCATTAATGTTATGAAAAAGTAGAGCGAAAATTACAGTATTTCAGTTTAAATTTTAATAAAAAAGATAATCTTGCAAGATAATACACATGCTGAGTAATGCCCTTATGACCAATTTTTATTCATTTAAATGTCTAATTTTACCAGGTTACGATAAGGCTAATTCCAGTTCAAATTTTGCTTATGAATGAATAAATTGTGCGTTTAACTACCGATATACTATGTTGGTCACAGGACTGAAAACACTGATTCTCAGCAAAAAAAAAAAAGCAAAATAAGCCCAATACAGAGTATACTGTTTGCTTCTTATATACAATTTTTCTTAAATGAAATAAAAAGCTACAGCACTGAATTATAAAAGTTCGTGGTAAAAGAAGTTAAAGTTTAGAAACTAACCAAAATTTGTAAAGCACCATCTTTCATCAATGAGCATAATGACTGGTCGCAATTATTCATCGCTGAAAAATTAAGCTAATTAAACGTATTTGTTTCCTTTTAACAAAAGATCTAAGCATTATCTGATACTAAAGTTTGCATAGACTATACAAATATAAGTTGAACATATTTTCTTTGCTGTCAATTTCATGAGTTTCTGAAAATTTTCAAAAAATAATAGATATGAGCGACAAATTTAATTCCACAAACTTCTGAAAATGTTATCATCAAAAGCTATTGGCAGTACTATTTCCACGATATGCGCTAAAGCATTTGAATCTAAATAAAATGTCATTTGGCGAATGAAAGCGGTATAATTATAATCCGTGTTGGATAAAATAGGTAGGAGACACTGCCTGTCCAGAAGTGAAATGTATTTTACACCATTCACAACAAATTTCGTAGTAACTGAAAAAATCTTCGGTTAATTTTGATTTTTGAAATCTTCACTAATTTTTTCAGTTTTTTTTAATGGACTACACTGAGTACAAGCAATTAATAAATAAGATTAGTCCTCAAAATAATCTACACAAATTTTAGAAAACAAAACTAGAGTAACAGAATTTTCAAAATTTCTCTTAGTCCTAATTCGTTATAATAACAACAGACCCAAATCATATGTACTATGTACCAAAAATCGTAATAAATCCGTGGAACTAGCAATCATTTTGATCAAAAATGGTAATGAAAAACACTGCATTTGTTCTGGAGTGGTAATTTCACTCTCCAAATTTTCTCTATCTTTCTGAAAAATTTTTTAAAGCTTTGTCTACTACATTTATTATCGTTGCAGATAAAGACCATTTTCCCACTTGGGACGAAGACTGACTGGACAAATATATTTCGCTTCGCTTCACTGATTTAAATTAAATTTCTTAAGTTAATATGCTTACAGTTATCAGTTCACGTGCAGCATTCCTTAATTCTGTATTGTTTTGATTTGCAAGAAATGTGAAAACATCACACAATAATAAAAATTTTTGCTTATAACTTTCATGAAGATCAATAGATGCTTTATTGTTCTGAAAAACAGTTTTCATTATACGAAGGAAAATGCTTTCAGTTAACTTAAGACTGTTAATCTAAAAAAAAATTAATAAAGCATTATGCAGAGTAAATTACTTGTTTAGATAATAAAAAGAGATTAGTTTTCTATGCTTAATTCATTCAATTGTAATGTGCCACAATAAGAGTACAAAAACAGTTTTCTAGCGAGTCAATATGACCAAATGCTCGCCATATATCCGAAGAATAAACTGCAACTGTGTCAAATTCAAAAATTTTCATCAAAAATGGAAAAAAATACCTGTACCACAGAATGGTAATGCATTAATTCTTGAATACCCAATCTTAAAAGATGAGCGACAATTGTGTCAGGAAATGAAACACTGCAACACAGATAATCATTAAATACGAGAGATTTTCAACGCAAGTTTGAATCATCTAGAATTAACTATTTTCTGAACCATATTGATATCTCTAACAATTATTATTTAAAATTGTTCATTTCCAACTTACGCAATGTGCATCCATATCCAGGCAAAACAAAAACCATTAGCAGAAGCATCAATAAGCACAGACAGGCACTCTTCCGGAGCAACATGCAGTCTGGAATTTCAGATCAGTATAACAAAAAAGATATCATACATGATTAACGAACCCTTGAATCATACAAAACAATTTAGAATACAAATAATGTCTGTCTTTAAAGGATTCTTTTATCAGATTATAAAGCTATTAAATTTCGCTTTAATTTAATGATACTCCAAGCTCAGGAATATGAGCACATTGTGTGTGAGCGGAAGGATTATCAATTTAAACCCACAAAAAAGCAATTGCTTTGTCAGTTAATTTGATCGCATTCGTTATAGATGGACATGAATCGAATAAGCCAAGCAGAGCAGAAGCTGTAATACCAGTGGTTTTTGCAATTGGACGCTCGTAATTAAGCTTACAAATTTCTACGAACAAATTACAAGCCCACTGAAAACAAAAGTTACTGGTTTAGAAACCTAAATTTTACGAATATCCGCACTATATATTTTTATTTTCAGTTGATTTTATTCAAAGCCCAATAAAACAACTCTATTTTGAGCACTTTCTGAATCTGAGAAACCTGTAACTTATTTACGATTAAAAATAAAAATCACCAATCATTCAAAAAAAGATAACTTGAAGCCTCTTTTAAAATTAATTAAAGGTGCAATAAAAAACAAAGAAATCACCACAAGAATGTCAAATGCAAGGCCTTTTGATTGTACTGTAGATAATATACGACGAAATTCACCAGTGAGTTTTCGTACAGCACGTTCAATGTTAGTGGTGTCTGTTCCTGAAATAGAATATTTTATTGTAGAATTTTTAATCAGAAAAAGAGTGATCCTAAATTAAGATAATGTCAAAACAAACGTAGCAAGATAATTTATGCTGGATAGAATTTACTAAAGTATATTTAAAAATGAATTTATAAACCTTGAAAATGACAACTCAAATAACCGACCAATTACTCAAAAATAATTGAATCAAGTTCAAGTCTGCAGAAAAGACCACCTTTTACTTCAAAATTGAAATGGCTTCCTTTTAATTTATATTTTCATGTAATTGAGATGAAGATCGTTAAAAGATTATATTTAAAATGACTTGTGCTTCAAAAAATGATATAAATCGAACAAATTTAAATGCTCTAATCCATTTTTCTACTGAAGCATGTATTGGTAAAAACAGAAGAGTTAAATTTGTCATACCAATATGCGGATTTTCCTTTTTCGATAAATGTAAATGAGTCGCCTCATGTATTAGCATACCAAGATAATTTAGTACAGCAAACCTATAAGCTAGAGAGTAAGTAATTAGTAAAAGAGCATTAATACAATTTTGTCAAGTTTTTCATGGACAACTCGAAATCCGATCGAATCTTTAAAACTTACAGCTAGAGTCTTGGATATTCCATCATCATCAAACAATTTCAGAGAATAAAATTTTAATATGAGGCACTTGTTTTGATATATAAAGTGAATTATAATTCTCAGTAAAATATTTGTCAAATATATTTAAATGTACCCACCAAATTGTTTTTCAAAACCTAAAATCTCATTCTTACATTTCTTTTAAATAAATAGTTAATTTAAATTCATCTCAAAACTAAAGACCTTTTTAAATATCGTTTACCGCCTTCACTAGACAACTTAATTAAACTAGACATCTGAAGAAGCTAACTGACCTGGAACATGGTATTTTCGACAAAATTCTCACACATGGATCGATTAAATGTGAAGAAGTATTGTTTGCCCATATTGGACGAAGGTTTCGATAGACCGATCCAATATCATCCACTGGACCAATTACTGAGTAAATATCAAACATATATCGTTGTAAGAGCTGAAACAACGTTGTGCTTAAATCTAATTCATTATGCGAATTTCTAGTTATAAGATAACAAACTGACATTGATCATTTAGATTTCATAAATTAGGAAACAATTTCATTTATAAATGACAAAACAAATTACAATAAGGTGAACTTGTAATATATAGAAATATGCTGAGAAATGATGACTAGAACTTACTTTGAAATTTGGAAGTTCATTTTCTGGAGAAATATGTTGTAAACCCGAAGCTGAGGAAACATCGTGAGTCGAAGCACGAGAAGGCATTCTTAAATATTTTTATCCCGCGAGCGAACTTACGCATCCATAAAGATGACGACTTCAATTAGAATGATAAAGTTTTGCTTCCTACAATCCTTCAAGTTGCTCGCTACTTGTTAGAGCCAAATTAAAACTTTGAAATGACTGAAAGACAATTTTTAACAAATTTTCCCAACCATAACTAATGTCAATGCAGCAATTCTCAATCCGAGTGCTCTGTAAAGATCTATATCACATTTAAGATGAGATAATCAGCGGATAACACAGATTGCGATAGCTATAGAAAAAACTGCAAACCCTTTACAAAAAGTTACGTAACTACTCTACCACCCTGAAACCTTTCTATTTCTATGCTTTGATTGCTTCTCGGAGTTCAATAAACGCCATTTTTAGTTGTGTTTGGAATCTTGAAGTTGAAGCAAAAGTCACAGTAGAACGATTAACATCCTAGCAAAACCGAAGAAAAATTACGGCTCTACTGTACTAGTTCCGAAAAAATATCCCATCCTACCACTTTCACTTCACTTTGGTATGTTTACAATCTGCGGATATGCAGAACAAATTTGGATATCAATTTGAAATGCTTGCACAAATATTGTCTCTTGATATTCGCGTCCAAATGAAGATGGAACAAAGTTGAAAAAACAAAAGAACCAAGACATCGTACCAAAAAAATTTTTACAGTTATATAAACACACATTCAAAATTCATTTTCATCAAAAATTTTCGAGAAAACAATACGACAAAATCGTAAATTTCTGGAATTACAAAATGAATCAACGACATAGGTGGTACATGCGAACTAAATGATACATGTCTCGAAAAATTCAAAAATGGCACAAATATAGGTGACACTATGATAATGACTCTGAAACTGAATTAAATACTAACTGCTGAATTCCATAACAGAGTTAAAATGAAATCAAACTAATCAAACTAAAAATATTATTAGATGGAAGAAATCACTAAACGACAACATGAAACACAACAAAGCCATATTTCACAGAAATGATTTCATTCCCACATCTACCACATTCATTTTCAAACTACTTAAAATCTGAAATCTACTAGAAAAACTTTTTAGCATTTAATTATATTGCCCAAAATTTGAAACAATACAGTATAGAGTGGTAAAAAACAAGAAAGCCGAAAAAATTTTCAACTGTTGCGTGGACTCTCATGATTTATCTGATGATCAGGATTCTCAAATGGCGCAGGTAAAGCTACTTCCCCTGGGACTACATTCCAAATTTCTCGAGCATATTCTTCAATTGTACGATCAGTGCTAAATTTTCCACAACTTGCAATGTTCATCAGAGCCATTTTTGCCCATTTTTCAGGATTCTGAAAAGAATATCACTGCCACAAGCAACAACAAACAGAAAATATACAAACAAAAGTAGGATTTGGTTGAAAGCATGAGTTTTAGACTTCTGTACTTCGCTTATAAAAACAAGCATGTTAAATACTGGATTATAATAAACCTGATAAACACTCTCGACTTCTTGTTGACACTTGATGAATGATTCGAAATCAGCACATACCATAAAACTATAAAAGAGATAATAATGAACATGCAAAACACAACCTGTTTCATAAGAAATAAGCCTTTTTAGATAGTTTCGACCTTGAAATACGGTTTTAATCATTACATAATCAAGTACATATAAATAAAAATGGATGAAAAAGAATGCACCGGTCCCATTTTCTTAAGCACAATGCAACATCTTGCAACAAAGCTGGCTCATCAGGTGTGAAGAACCCACTTTCAATTTGCTCAATAATTTGAGCTAATTCAGAATTTTTCCTGATGAAGTCCTCAGGGTTGTAACTGAAAAATTAACAAGTTAAGAAACAATATTTCATCATTTGATCTTTTTTTACCTATATTAAGTTTTCTTGTTTTAAAACAGAGTTCTGAAAAAACCGACCCTTTTCTAGAAAGTTCAGCAACATCCGTGACTTCCATACCAAAGATGAAAATATTTTCCCGACCCATTTCTTCCATCATTTCTATATTAGCTCCATCAAGTGTACCAATAGTTAATGCACCATTCAACTTAAAAATTAATTCACTAATAATAATTGAGTAATTGTGCAAAAATCATTACATTTTCCTGATTTTTCCAAAAGAGGGTTTCTCAATGCATCCATAAACTAACAATGTTTGAGGACAAATATATTTTTCTAAAGAAACAAGTTTTATTTGTATTCTTTTAAATTTTTGTTCATCAAGATATAAGAAACTTTCGACTTAATTCTGAGATTTTATACGCCATGAACAGAAAGCTAACCATAAATTTCATATTGCCTGTACCACTAGCTTCCGTACCAGCAGTTGAGATTTGTTCGCTGAGATCTGCGGCAGGAATTATTTTCTCTGCCAAAGAAACACGATAATTTTCGAGAAATATCACCTAAAATCACAAAATGTTCTACATTTCTGTTTATTTTACAGAATTAGTATCATGTTAATTTCATCTACTTTTAAACAATGCCGAAAAAAATCTAAGTGCGATCATGACCTTTAATCTATCACCAACAATTGGATCATTGTTTACAATGTCCCCAACTGAACCAATCAATTTGATGATCTGTTTAGCCATATGATACCCAGGTGCTGCCTGCAAGATTTTAAATAATTAAAATTTTTTTCTTGATATTACTAATTAAAAAGTTCAATACATAAAAATATGGATAAAAAGCTTTCAGTTAAGTAAATTAACGAAATAGAAAACTGAAGAGATAAAAGAAACAGACCTTTCCTCCAAATATAACAGTACGCGATGTAATATTAACATTTGGATTCGCTTTAATACGATTATAAAGTGTAATAACGTGTAGTATGTTTAATAGCTGACGTTTGTATTCATGAATTCGTTTCACCTAAAAACATGTAGACATGTAATTTAATAATCGCACTAATACATGCTTTTTCTGTTAATACTAGTCCACCTTACTAACCTACTTCTAATAATTTGGGGGAAGCAGTGCATAAGTTTGGATCTCAAGTCTTAAGATTTACTAACGTAAGCGAATCAAGATATAAAAAAATCCTTTTCCACCTCAGATCACATCTTCTGATCTATTAATTAGAACCGAGATATCTTCTAAAATTATTCATTTACAAACTTTTTAATTCTAGATTTTAGGGCACATCAATTTTGTGATAAATTTTAATCTAGCTGTAGTAAAAAAATATAAAATATATGACATATAAGTAAAATTAAAAATATAGCAACAAATAATTTTGATTTTAAGCAACAAAAACGATGTCCAATAGAAAAAGAACCGAAAGACATACATGTATATCAAATATACTCGAAGGATTTATTTCAACGTTATATTCGTCATTTAAAAACTGTGCTAAACGCATCTTATTTTCTTGCTTCACCCGACGGATCGAATCCAAAAATCCCACATCGTCTGCATATTTCTTCAATCCTTGTAATTTATCGAGATTAGTTATCCAGTCTTCACCGATTCTCTTCAAAAGACTAATTAAGTAAATATTGGCACAAACTTTGCGTCGTTACTGTTAAAAAATTATCATATATCATTACTTCTTCTAGTGTAAAAAATTGATATTCCAAAGTCTGATCAAGCTGAAGTAGAACTGTTCTTTTGGCTGACAAATTTATGTTCAATACATCGAACTATACGAGCAGATTATCATTTCAGCTTTAAAAATAGTGAAGCATGGCTTACCTCACATATAATATCAGCAAGCGATGGATTTGCCAGCAAAAGCCAACGGCGAGGAGTAATACCATTGGTTTTGTTCTGGAATCGATCAGGGAAGAATTCATAGAAATCTTTAAAGCTGAAAAAATTTTCCAATTACCTTTGACTTTTTTGAGCTATCTAAAACACTTTAATCATTAAAGAATTTAGCAAATTTAAAAATGATATGAAGTTTCTTTAAGAAAAAGAGCATAACACATTTACTGCGTTGAAATGATCACCAACAAATTTAAGCAAATTATTAGCAATTAAATCCTCCCTCCAAACTATGCTTACACAGTTTTTTTCAAGAGATCTGAGTGTAGCGCTGCGACACCATTTGTAACATGTGATCCAACGATACACAAATGTGCCATGTTAATCCGTTTCTCGGCAAATCCATCTGCTTCTTCAACGATTGACATGCGTCGCATACGGTCGAGATCTCCGGGGTATCGTGCAGCTACCGCCTTTATAGTTTACTTATAAAAGTAGTGGAATAACAACAGCTGAACTTAAACAAAAATACAGGAATACTGAGATTGACTTGTATGGTCACTCGCGGTCAGCATTGTGCAATCATAACAAGGATGAAAGAATCCGAAAATTTTAAAAATAGTTGCAACATACATCCATGAAAACTTGATTGATTTGGTATATAATTTCAAGATGTCGGGGCAGTAGATTTTGGAGTAACGAAACTGGCCATCTTTCAAGGGCCTCTGGGAGAAGAGTATGATTCGTATATGCAAATGTTTTCACACAAATATCGAAAGCTTTAGGAAACGGTATTCCTGAAATGGAGTGTTCTGATTTTACTGTAATTATACTACCTAGTCTTCAAGGCATGTGCTTTTATAGTCATCTGTAAGAAACTAGCTTAAAGATGTAGCGTGTGGATTAGAATTTGATTAAAGCAGACCCTCAATATCAACAAATAAGCGCACGAGTTCGGGGATACCGATTGATGGGTGAGTGTCATTCAGTTGGATTGCAACCTGAAATACAAACTGCAGGTGTGGTTCTAGTTTGATTTTGCGATCAGTGTTGGAGTACGGTCAAACTACGAAAACAGTAGAGTGTATATTTTTATTTCCGGAAGAGATTACATTTGTTGCGTTTCAAGAAAAAATGCTACTAAATTTCTATCAAGTAGTATTAGAAGTATTTACTTTGTCAGGGAAACTGTCTAGACTTGATCGCACTGCGTCACGACAACCATATTTGCTCGATTTAAAACGTCTGATAATGTCTTGCAAAGTAGCAGCCACCAGGAAATACTGTTGTTTTAGACGTAATTCTTTACCAATGAAGATCTGTAATCGACAAATTTTTTTTTCTAACCATAAGAGTTCTTGAATTATTAAAAGGTTTCAGGGAATTCTTAATGTCAGTAATATTTTGAAGAATTGGATACAGCGTGATCATCAATTAATGGAGTGAAATCAATCCAACATGAAACCGAATGATGGTGTAAACACGCTAACATTATCATTAGGATAGAGGACACGAGTGATGTTTTCTGATATGTTACGATCCATAACAGCTTGCACATAATCGCCATCATTGACTAGAAAAGTAAGCCAGACATAAGCATTTGCATAAATTAGTATATTTTTGTAACTTTTATTTATTTCAAATTGGAAGTATTATAGAAATTTACAAATTATTGCGCAGAAAAATTTTTTTGAAATACTCACAGAATTTAAGATGGAATTTATTCTCAGCTTTCGCGGACCATAAACGTAAAGTGTTGACAACATTATTGCGGAAGCCAGGGACGGGTGTGTCGTACGGCATAGCAAATACAAGCTGAGTATTTACCCATTTGCTCTGAAATAGTCTACTCTTTTAATTAGTTCAGTTAGCATACGTCAAGTCCATTGCCATACACACAAAATAAGAGGAGAGATTTTTGCTGGAATATACGTCTACTTTGTAAATAACAAATTCATGCATTCTATTTTATAGTCATTTGAATTTTACTAATTAACTCCTTAAAAAGCAAATCGACACTAAGTAAGAAAATTTTAACAAAGTATTGTGATCATTTTTTTACATTGCCATTTGCATCTTTTTCAACTCTGCCGTAAAAATTGATCGGAAGCATATATTCCGGACGTGATTTCTCCCACGGATTGCCAAATCGCAACCAGTCATCTGGTTCTTCAACCTAAGCGCAATTTCTTACAAAAATTTTACTGCCTGAAGTGAAGCTCGAAGAAAAAACAATAATAATTACAGTTTTATTTAATTTAGGAAGTATTAACTTGTATCATATACTTTTTCTCCTGCACTGCAAGCAAGATCATTGCTAACAGAGATATTTGATCACAACTGATATTATTACATCACTTAATTTTAGACATTAATGCAAGTAAGCAATAAAAGTAAACATAGTAATACCTGCCAGCCTTCACGGATGAGTTGCTTGAAGATTCCGTATTCATAGCGCAAACCATATCCATAAGCAGCAATTCCCAAAGTTGCCATGGAATCGAGAAAGCACGCAGCCAAACGACCGAGACCGCCGTTTCCAAGACCAGCATCTTCCTCGATTTCTTGTAATTCTTCCACATCCAATCCAAGCTAGAATGCAGAATCAAATAAATACTCTGAAATCCATGATCAGCAGCCATCACACTGAGATGCATGAAAAGTTGTTACACTTCATTTTTAGACGTACAAGTTGGATAGCAATGGCTACTGATACTGAATGCTATGTAGTCAATAATAAATTTTCAGAAAGCAGATAGTTCCTAAATTTAATAGTAATGAGAAAAATTAGATAGTAAGGAATTTTGATTAAATTTGAAAAAATTTTGATGAAAAAAAATTTCAAGAGGGAAAGACATCCTGAAATAACTGCGAACAGAATTAATTATTGAGATTTGACAAAAAAGTGGAAAATTTCATTTTCATAGTTGACTACACATTCCTTATGCTTTTATACTCAATAATTTTTGAAATAAAAAGTTATGTCTTCTTTAAATCTCTCTGCTCCATCACTAAATAGTAATCATGTTCGAGTGGAAGGTAACGTTTTAGAACAGAATCATACCTGATACAAAGCTTCATCAATAGCTGCTTGAATACCGATATTCATCATTGTATTTGACAAAGTACGACCCATATAGTATTCGAGCGAAAGATAATAAACGCGCTAGAGTGAAATCTTTCAGTGCAAAAACTTACAACCCAAAAGTAGAAAAAAGTTATCAGTAAAAATTTAAGAAAAAGATTCCTTGGAAATGGCTTGATCTTGAGAATGAAGTACCCGAAAAGGAAGAAATTACTTTTGGATCTTTGTCGTAATAATATTGCTGAGTACGGATCCATCGGCTGACTAAATGATCCTTTACTGTGTTTGCCAATGCAAAGTAGTAATCACGCGGAGTTGCCACGTTTCGATCCTGAAATTAAACGTCACGCATTATCCTTTAAATTTTGTAAGTTTTTTTTTTTGAATATTTTCGCAGATTTATTCAATTTTCTCTCCACCTAAGAAGCAAATGCTACTCAAATATCATCATAGTGATAATATTACGCTTCTCAGTCTAATGTTTTCATAACCTACAAATCTATTTATTTTTGCCTTTGATAAATGTTCTCGCTTTTAGAAGTTCAGCTATTTAAAATAACAAATACTAACTTAATAATAATTTCTCTAATTTAGTAATAATAATTTCTTCGCTTTAAAAGTTCAGCAGATCAATTATTTTGCTAATTTTAATAATATTCAGCATTTTTTAACATGTTTTTGTGGATATCCGTTAGTAACTACATGATAACCTTTATTAATGAGAAATGCAGATGACGATTAAAAGTTTTCTTGATATTTGCAACATTTTCCACCTGAGCAATACCACGTACGCTGATTTGTTTACGACGATCGTGATCTGTGAGCATTGTAATTCGTGTTTTCTTCTTAAACAATTGCCTTTTTATCATTGAAAACTATTATATCATGACAATTCAGTGTTGCGTAAATTATACAACAAATTTTGAAAATTCGTTCACAATATATGTGCTTAGATACCATGAACATAAGACATTTATGCCAATTTTAACACGCAAATGTGATTTAGATGAATCATTACTAGAAACCATATCGAAGGGGTCACGTAAAATGAGCACTACATTGATTATAATTGGAGATATTGCCAGAGATATGAAAACATTATTCTTTATACAAATTTAAAAAAAGCAATATAAAGGGTGTATAGAAGTATTCTCTACGAATAACAGATCATTCATAAAGACAAAATTGTAATAAGTGTAATAATTTCTTATCATTTGGACACCACGACAGTGATGGTAGCAAATTAAATCCATCACTGTGACTGCGTGTTAAATTAATTTACGTGAATTGAAAAATACGTTGATGAACGAGCGGACATCAGTTTAATAAAGATTTGGTTCGGAAGTGAATTACGTATAGTTAAATACTTTTCAAATTATTTTCCATAAATACTTGATTCTCGACCGGTTTTCTTATTTACTGTTTGCTATACTCTTGCTATCCTACTCTTCGACACAATTTACTTATCACTATGTGTTAAGTTTAAATTTTCGACAGAAACTTTTTAGTGCTTTTATATTGTGCATATTTTAATAGTTTCGTATTTTGGAAGCATCATTTAATTGCAGTTGCTCTTCTTATCCATAGCTCTATATGATAAGTGATTTAGCAGCAGATCTATGCAAGCGAAAAATACTAACTGAAGACTGATGTATATTTTTTACTTATTTCTGCATAATATCTGAAATAGCAAACTTTTTCTGCTTAAATCCTCGATTTTACTCTGCTCGATTTGCAGTTATGTCTGATCAAAGCTTTCTTAAATCAGTGATTATGAACTCTTCATCTCAATATTGATCTCACTGCCAGTATCAATATATTTTCCAGAATTTTTAAAACCAAATGTACTTGCAGTGAGAATTGATATCAGTTATATGAGCACTTATTTACGTTACATCTCAGCTTCTTAAATACTGAGATAAAAAATATGCTGCATAGATGGTGCATTAATGAGTGCATAATACATAATATTTACATAGATTGTTTAATTCGTAAGTAATCTTAGATGACTGCTTGAGTGTTGAGTTATTTCCTTCAGAGCTATTCGCCAGAGTGCAAAGGATTGAGAAACAGAAAAAGCAGAAGCAGAAGGAATATTACGAACGTTATCTGATCTAAAGTTGAGTGAAAGAAATAAAAGGCACTGGAGCAGAAATTCGGAAAACTGAGAGGACGATGAAAGAGGACTACAACAAGTAGTTGAGAATTCATGAGAACATCTGAAGGAAATTGTAGATGTTAATAGATTTGTTAGCATTTTCTTGATCTTTTTTATAGAATTCTCATCAGTAATTACTGCAAATATTTCGAGCACTTTTGAGAGCTTCTCAGATTTGCTTATGAATTCTGACTTCTCATTTATCGTTTTCTCATGCTGAATTTCACCAAACATATGCGAGAAATCCACAGAATGTTGTCAAGTTGCACAATTTTTAAACAAATAGCACATTTTATAAACACGATAGTAAGAAGAACAGAAGAGAAAATATTTACTAGAAATAAACAGTACGTGAAAAACATTGCAAGTTCTCAATGGTCAACAATAATTATCGTATTTTGTCTTCAGTGTGGCGTGATCGTTCTACTCTGATAAGAGCAGTAACGTCGATTATATCGTAAAGAATACGCGGAGAAGAACTAATTTCAAAATCAGTAACTAGGGAGTGCTAGTGGGAATGACAGCAGTGATGATAAGATCACGTGAAGATAACTAACAAAAGAAATAGTAAAGCTAGCGAAGATAGGAAACAAACTTGGAAATGATTGTTAAGCAATGCAAGCAAGGAATGGTATTTTATTAACAGTTGGCGGCAGCAACGTGAATGATTATAATTACAGCGATTATTCACAAACAATACTAACTCCATTACATTTGATTTGCTTTCACGATTACTGCTCTTCAATAATACTTGTTTGTGTCTGTTTGCATTGCCTTCGTTAAAGAGAAGAGCATCGCAGCGTTCAATAACCTTCATAATTTTACTACTTATCAATAAGTGATAAATTTAATCATTATTGATTGATAAAAGAAAATATCTTAATACCAGAGTTCAATTGTTTGAAATGCGCAGATTATAGATTTCATCTAAAGGCATAAATCGTAATCATTCATACCTACAACGTTTTTGCCATTACATCAAGCACATTGTATATTGTATACGTGTAAAATATGAATGATACAGTGATTGAACTTCAAACTTTTGGATAATAACAATTGAGTGTCAGTTATATGCGAGTTAATAAAATTAATTTGTTAATAACAATGCGAGCAAGTCTGTTTAACAGTCAAGTAGAATAACAGTGCTGCACAGTAAGTAACTGTAGCTAAATAACAAAGTATCCATTGACGTGCGTGATTTATCACAAATAACAACTGCAAAAAGTAGGGAGTTTGTTAAGAGAGAGCAAAGCTATTTATCAAAAGAATAAAGCAATGCTCGAAGTTGCACCTCATCTCATCACATGCGGTGGCTGGCTGCTTGAGGTTGAAGGTGTATTTAGACAGTTTAATTAGAGAAGTAGAAGAGCGCTTAGCTCAAGTCATTCTTCCATTCTTTTCACGTGATACGTGATGGAAATAAGACTTGGAGAAAAGAACCGATGATAGTGCAACAAATGGTAGCAAAAATACTTAAACAAATTGATGAAAACAACAAATGACTTGTTCTTCTGGCAGTAACAAAACAAGAATAGGAAGGAGGAAAGTTTGCATTTCTGCTGTCGGAGGTAGTAGCAGATTAGAGAGGAGAAAAGACGAGAAAGCAGACGGAATTCTGTTTACAAATTTATTTTTACACCATTTTTAGAGCGAGAGAATACGCAAATTGATCAGAATTGACCTCAGTACTTTATAGCAAATATAGCAATAATATATCCAGTATAGTATTCCCAACAAAAAATTATAACTCTGACATCGGCCAAGTATACAAATTACTGCTATATTTTTACAACTGATTAGCGAAAAGTCAGTATTTCTTGACTTACACAAAGTTAAGGAATGATAATCAACTGATGAGCTCGATTCACGTCATAAGTATGAGACTTAAGGCAAAATGAAAGATACTGAACTGAACTTTAGAAGCTATAAGCTGTACTAAAATAACAGCCAACTTCTGATCAACACTACTTTGACTCTATTATACATCGTAGAAAGTAAACGATATCTTACATTATGCTTATCAAGATTGTGTAGCAGTATCAGAAAAAAAGCAGTGATTTCAGTGTTAAGCTCTTGCTTGATGGAAAATACTCGTACTTTTGTGGTCATTGCAAGTTCAAAGTTCAGTATTTATTTTTTTTTAGCCAGAACTATTTACTGTGCCTATGAAAATAATTAATTAATTTGCTAGCAATCCAAAAATACAAATCAGACTAAATTTGCATGTTTACACTTTATTCATTTTAATCAATTTTTTATTTGCTGTTTAATGATAGTGATTTGCGCTTGATGATGCTGAATTCATTGTCATTCATTGGTAGTTTAGTTTAGCTTTGCTTATTATTAATATTCATCACTGCTTGTTTTTCACGCTTTTAAATTGCCACTGGGAGCGATGAAGTAATCATTTTTAAACTGCAATGAATAATATATGTGACTCAAGGGTCGAACAATCAAAGGTCAAGAACAAAATGCTGCTTGATGATCCTAAAGAATGACTCATTTTCAACGGATTTAAACTGAAATACAACTTTATGTTTACATTCAGTCTACTTTACTTTATATACTTATATCAACACAAAGTTAACTTCTACTAAAAACTTCACGTAAATGCAAATTATATCACACACGCACACATGCAAATTTTTTTAAACAAAATAATGACAAAAGTGTATTGAAATTACGCATGCAAATACGTAAAAATAATCTTAAAAATAAATGCGGCGGTATTTCTTTCCGACTTTACATTAAGAATTATAGACAAATCTTTGTTTTCCATTTTTTGGTATCCATTCATACTTGTTCCGTGTTCTCTCGTTTTTCCTTCTATTCTTTCCCGTGTAATTCACGTAATAAAAAAAAATTATCTTTGACAGTTTGCTTTCTCTTATTCATATATGTGTCATTTAAATGCACGCACAAAAAAAGATGCAGGTGCGTTCATAACAGCGATATTACGAGAGAGTATATACTATGTTGCGTGGAATAGAGAAAAAACCATAACGGTACCATTGAGGAAGAGATAGCTTAAGGTTAGTGCAGGTGAAGTGTATGCTCTTAAACACGTGTGTGTGTGTGTGTTTGGAATGAATCATTAGGCTTTCTCAATCAATTCCGTTCATTCAGAACTATCAGAGAATTGCAAGAATTTCTTTTGTGATATTTGACATTGCAGACAGAAGCAACATTAAGTTTTCTACATACGACACAACGCACTGCCACATTGACTTCACTTACGTTTACGCGTAGAAAATAGTCAGTTTATGGGATTTACTTTTATGATAACAGAATTGAAGTTTGATCTTCAGCGTCAAGACTAAGATTCAATGACTCTTAGAAAAGAGTGCCAGATGGTCTATATGTCGACACTTGTAGTAGGCAATCGAGTTTCATTATTTACGGTTATTTGAGAATTTTAGATTCAACGACAAATTAGTATGCAACACATTTTATTGGAAATTCAGATTACTGCAGGTCTTTTTCTTAACCGATTTCTTTAATTAAAAGAAAAACACTCGCAGTCATTAAAGTATCGTTCCTTCACATGTTTTTAATGAATTTGTAATTAATATTTAAGCGAGCAATATTTGTGATGGCAAACCAGTTATGATTGAATAAATTAAACATGGAACTCCATATTTTGCTGTCGAAAATTGAGTGTGACCATAG